ATTCCCATCACTACCCTCGCCGGCAATTAGAGGAAGTAAATTCTTGAGGTACAGTTCGTTCAGTATCTTATCATTTATGTTAATGGAAGCTCCTTGAGGATGCAGAACCTGAAATCGAAATCACCGTTAGTTGTACAAAGCCTAAACATCGAGCCTCGAAGCCCACTCCAAGTTATTCATATACAATAACTTTATCAACGATTGAACTCTTACCGGTGTATGATCATGTGATGGAAGTATTGGAGATGGTAAATTGTCGGGGAAAAACGCATTCTCTTCCTCGGAAGTATAACGGCCAGCCTACACCGACCAAATTTTTAACGCCCAGATGAGAAAACACGGTGCAAAATTTTCAATTTTCAAATAAAATAAGGACCAGAGTGTTATATTCATGGCTTAGTTGGTATTATTATCTACTCTCAACCAAGCATCAAAGGAAAAAGACTTCTTGTACCACTTTAAGAACACTTGTAAACTACAAAATAGTGATTAAAATCGGGATATATGTGTTAGGTAAAAACAATACGAAAAAAGATGACAAAGGCCTTTTTACCGCTCTTAATTTCCCTTTTTATCTAACAGATTAGTGAAATGCAAACAAAGTATAAGGAAATGCTACCGTCCGTTTACGGAACCATTCCGTCGTGGTTTGTAACCGTTAGATCATCTATCCCGACGGAATGGTTCCGTAACGGGACCGTAGCATCTACCCAAAGTATAAACTAGACAGAAATCAAAGATCAGAGAATTCTCCATACAACATGCTTATCATTCCCAGACAACATATCAAGAATGTATAAATTAGCAAAATACAGTCCAATTCTTTAGAGTCTCCCTAAAACAATATATATATACCTTTGCCTGAAGAGCTTCGGATTCCTTAATAAAGAATTCTAACAGAGAAGACGAAAATCTGTCTGAATACTTATCATCGTAAAGCCCTGAATTGATGGGGTATTTTGACCTCTCAATCAGACAGAAGACGATAGAATCTTCCTGTCGGACCAAACTCTTTCTCAGCGAGTCCAGATTC